CTGTCTGAATACTTACTCTCCTATTCTTTTCAGTATTGGCCTGTAATTGGAGACTACAATGGGGTAGTAACCCCACAATTGGACAGATCAGCTGATAAAGGAATTAAAGAAATGCAAGGGAAACTGCCTCCGACATTTTTCAAGCTGACCAATATTTTAGGTTTGATCAATGTTTGAAGGTGTAAAAATGGATTAACAAAAGACTTTTTTCAGATAGATACAAATCTTTTTCTAGAATTGATATGATTTGAATTAAAAAAAAATCTGCTTCACAAAGCAACTAAAGCCATTATTCTTCCAAAAACCTTTTCTGACCATAATCCAGTGTCTTTACATCTTAAATTTGGTCTTCAGTCTTTTAAATGGAGATTAAATGAGTCTATCTTATAGAGACCACAGATTGTTTAAGAATGTAAACAGGTACTTCAAGACTATTTTAATAATAATTTAGGTAAGGGAACCAATTTGACAACAGTTTGGGATGCTTGTAAGGCTGTGATATGAGGACACTTTATATAATACAATACAGCAATTAAGAAGAAGATGGATAAAAAAACAAAATGTGTTACAAGAAATTACATGGAAGGAGAGGGAACAAAACATTTTTTTGAACATGCAAATAAACCAGGGAGATAATTGGCATATACGAATTAAGAAAACAGACAGAAAGAAGATAATAATCAAGCTTCAAGAGGAGAACAAGATTTACATGAATAAAAAAAAACATTCAAAGACTTTTTGGGAATTATTATATTAATAATTATACATTGGCTCCCGGCCAGCCTGGGCCAGGGCCAAGGCAGTGGGGGCCATTCCCTCACTGTTTCCAGGATGGCTTCGCAGGCCACATGAAACCACTTCGCGAGCCGCATCCGGCCCCCAGGCCTTGTGTTTGACATGTCTAATCTAAAAGTTGAATATGTTAAAGATTGTATGGTAAAATGGGCAAAAAAATGGGTATAACACTAAATAAATGGGAGAATATATGGACAAAGAGATTAAAATTTACATTAAATTATAGTTTGAAAAAAAACTTTTATACAATTATTTATTATTGGTACTTGAGCCCAGATAGACTAGCAAAAATGTATAAAGGATTTTCTAATAAATGCTGGAAACGTAGTTAAAATTCAGGTTCATCATATGTGGCGGTCTTGTAAATATGTGAAAACATACTAGATAAACATAACAATGACAATGTGAAAAATATTTAAGATACAAATATTAATGAAACCCGAAGCTTTACTTTTAGGTATGATAGACAAATCAATTGAAAAACAATTTGGGATGCTATTCCTTCACATAGTAACAGCTGCGAGGATTGTACTTGGCAAATACTGGGAGAAAAAAGATGCTGACTGTTGAAGAATGGATTTTGAAATTGACTGAATTAGCAGAGATGGCAAAATTAACTGCCTTGATTAGAGATAATGGACTAGACTTTTTACATGCTAAATATAAATAAAATACCATGTTTTCCCAAAAGTAAACCCGCCCCCGAAAGTAAGCCCCAGCTGATTTTTTTGGGTGGACCTAATATAAGCACTCCCCCCAAAAGTATGCTTTACTTAAAGGCCTGCACAGACGGCCTGCCTCTGTGACGAGGCGAAGCCGATGGGGGAGGGGGGAATCTGACCCATGGTATACCTGTTCCTTACCACCACTTGGCTTGTTCTGTGGCCTCATGGAAGCGGCAATGGGCGCGACGCACAAGGCAGCAAATGGCTGGTTTCGGCGCAATGCAGCCGTTTGCTGCCGGCTGTGGCCATTTGCCGCCTCGTGTATTGTGCCCAATGTTGCTGCCAGGACTACCATATGTTAACTCTAACCCCCACTGCCTCCCAACCCTAAAGGGAGATGGGAAGCCCTGGAGGGAAAAACAGAAAAACGTGTGTGAAAAAAACGGTTTTTCCTGTTTGTTTCCAAACTGCTTTGGAAACAGGGCCTTACTTTCGGGGAAATATGGTAACAGAGATTGACAGAAGAATTTGAAGGTTAGTGTAATGTTTAGCTCAACCTGTTGACTGCTTTTTCTTCTTTACATATGGTAAGGCCACACTTGGAATACGGCATCCAGTTTTGGTCACTACGATGTAAAAAAGATGAGACCTTAGAAAGAGTACAGAGAAGAGCAACAAAGATGATAAGGGGACTGGAGGCTAAAACATATAAGGAATGGCTGCTGGAGTTGGGTATGTCTAGTTTAATGAAGACAAGGATGAGTGGTGACATGATAGCAGTGTTCCAATATCTCAAGGGTTGACACAAAGAAGAGGGAGTCAAGTTATTCTCCAAAGCACAAGAAACAACGGATGGAAACTAACCAAAGAGAGAAGCAACCTAGAACTAAGGAGAAATTTCCTGACAGTTAGAACAATTAATCAGTGGAACAACCTGCCTCCAGAAACTGTAAATGCTCCAATACTGGATGTTTTTAAGAAGAGACTGGACAGCCATTTGTCTGAAATGGTATAGGGTTACATAAATGGTATAGGCTTCCCTGCCTGGTATAAGGTTGGATTAGATCAGGGCTTTTCAACTGGTGGTATGCATACCACTTGTGGTACATTAAGGAGTGGCAGGTGGTACACAGCCCTGCCTAGCCAAGTGTAGTGGGGGAGGGAAAGAGTCAGCGCAGGCAAGGACTTACTGTGAGAGAGTCCTCTGGAGCTGCAGAGTGGCTGGGGTGAGGCAAAGGCCCCAGGCTCACTTCTGGCTCACCCTCCCCCATAAGAAAGGAGGAGGGGGCGGAGATAGGAGAGGCTATAAAAGAGACAGTTTGGGTGGGAGAGGGAGAGAGAAAAAAAGAAACAGCCTAGGGAGGAGGTGGAGTAAGCTCTAGCTGCACTGAAAAGGAAGGAGGAGGGTGGGGGGAGAGGAGAGGAGATCAAGCAGGCCAAGCAGGCCGGCCATGAGCCAATCTACAACTTCTGCGACAGCCACCTGTGCTGCCAGCAACAAACAGGCAAGAAATGCAGCAGGGGAGGGGCTGCCCTCCATGAGGAATGAAGAAAGGTAGCATCAGCTGGAGGTGAGATACGGAAGGAGGGAGATGGAGAGTAGAAGGAGTCTTATGTGCTTTTGTGACTTTGAAGTTCTGAAATTTGTGCAATGAGGGGTTTGTGTTCTTAAGGAGTGTTTGGCAATTTCTATTTGGCTGATGGCTGAGGGCTCCTGTTAGCTTCTATTGCTCTGCTATTGTTAGCTGTAAGTTTTGCTGCAAGGGATTTTGAAGTATTTTTTTCCTGAATGGATTTTGCCTGTAGCATTCCTTTACTTATGAATGGAGCCATTTGGGGAGGCTGCCTTAACTGGCAGCCAATACTTACTACATTTTTTTTCTTCCTTAAGTGCAGGCTGCGCTCCTTAACTTTCCTTTCTAGCCAGTAGCTAATTTTTAAAGGGGAATGTGCCCTTTTAAGCTAGTTCACTCAGCAGCTTGTCTTTTCTGTCTCTGGAGGCTTTTCCTTGTTTGATGAATATATGGAAGAGAGAAAATATGGGGGGATGTTCAAATTCTTCCTTCAGAAGGAGGTGGGCATGAGAAAGAGGGAGGCAGGGAAGGAGGGTGGGAGGGAGGAAAGTCCCGCCTTAGCACTTGGCCACCAGCAGCCCTGCCATTGACTTTGCTTGTCAAAAGATTGCAAAAGGGGATCATATGACCCTGGGAAACTGTGACTATCATAAATATGAATCAGTTGCCAAGCGTCCAAATATAAATCACATGACCCTGGGCATGCTGCAATGGTCATAAGTGTGAAAAATGGTCATAAGTCATTTCAGTGCAATTGCAACTTTGAACAGGCTTTTTGTTTTTTTTGGTCATCAAGTTTTTGACACCTTGCTAGGTGGTACTCGAATATTGCCATATCCTAAAAGTGGTACAGTCGGTGAAAAGGTTGAAAAGCCCTGGATTAGATGATCTCCAAGGTCCCTTAATAATAATAATAATAATAATAATAATAATAATAATAATAATAATAATAATAATAATAATAATAATAATAATAATAATAATAATAATAATGATAAAGTTGGAAGGGACCTCGGAGGTCATCTAGTCCAACCTCCTGCTCAGGCAGGAAACCCTATACCATTTCGGACAAATGGCTGTCCAATTTCTTCTTAAAAACTTCCAGTGTTGGCGCATTCACCGCTTCTGGAGGCAGGTTGTTCCACTGGTTAATTGTTCTAACTGTCAGGAAGTTTCTCCTTAGTTCTAGGTTGCTTCTCTCTTTGGTTAGTTTCCATCCGTTGCTTCTTGTCCTGCCCTCAGGCACTTTGGAGAATAGCCTGACTCCCTCTTCTTTGTGGCAGCCCCTAAGATATTGGAACACTGCTATCATGTCCCGCCTCATCCTTCTCTTCGTTAAACTAGACATAACCAATTCCAGCAACCATTCCTTATATGTATATTTGTAAAAGGGGAGAAGAATTTATTGCTTTTTCTTTTCTTCCAGCACTCAGCAAGGGTGGATCCTACATGTTAAAAATTAAATTTAATTGATGACTTTTTCCTCCTTTTTTGTACACTATTTTTTTTCTTTTATTGTTTGGGTTGAATGTATGTTTTTGTTTTGTTTCATTTTTTTTACTGTTCTGTATTTTATTTTTTATGATTAAACAATAAAATTTAAATTGAAAAAAATGTTCCACATTCCAATTGGATGTTTACCTTTCATTGGGACTACAGAGGAAAACACCACCTGTGCCCCCATCTCTTTGGCTTTCATGCCTAGTGGCTCATGGTTTCTTGATATGGTTTTCAGGATCATATCATTCATCCCCACATGAAAGAGGAGTTAGGAATAATAATCTCTGGACTTCATTATTTTAGTAAGCCTCTCTGTCACATCTTTGATCTTTGCTTCTGGGATACAGCAAACTACTTGAGATAGTCTGATCTACAAATTGCTAGTTCAGTTCCCCTGAGCAGTGAATTATCTAATCAGACATCACACACCTTTTATTTTTTTCTTAAGGAAATCTGGTATATTTCCCCCCCTGCAATTGCTATACTTGACAATGTTCCTTCTCCAGGTGTCTATTTTTCCAAGGGGAGGATATGAAATTGTTTAGTTCCAGCAGGGCTGGACTAGACTGGATTAGGTTTGATTTTGTTTCCTTCTTTGAGTGATCTGTTGCCATCGGTCTATCTTTGAAGGTTCATTTTCTGGGTTAGTTCATTGTTCCTTACAGTGTTCAGTTTGATTACAATCTTTTTCCTTTAATTGGGATTCCTCATTTTGCTGTTTAAGTTTCAGAGTAGCTAGATGTATCTCTAGTCCCTTTGCTTTTTCTTGTGTTGTTTGTTTCTTACTGTGTTTAGGGGTGTAGGAACTAAAGAGACTATGATCATATAGGGCAACTGAACTGCCTGTCCCTGGATATATTTTCACAAGAGAAATAGTCAAGAGAAAATAACAGACATCAAACTGAGAAAGAAACAATGATCACTTACCATAGTTTTTCTATTTTACAGTCTGGGTGTTGAAGCCCCTCACACAGCATCTTCACCACTGTGTCATTTGAATTGTTGAGCCACAGCCATAACTTTCTCAGTCTCTGGTTTTTCCTGAATACTTCTGCAAGATGCCAGCTGCAGGATTCAGTCATGGTGTTTCCCAAAAGCCTGCATGTATGAATCCCCCAAAATTACAATCATTTCTTGGAAAATAAACATAAACTATAGTCCTGAAGGAACTGAAAAGAATATGGAGAACATAGTTATTTATTGACAATGGAACTGCCTCTCCAATCTTAATAATTAATTTCAAGTACTTATTTCAGATCCATCTGGACCCTTACTCTGTATATAACTTTCCAAAGTCAATGTTCTGATTACCATTTTGCTGCTTATTCCAAAATAAGAAATAAGATTTTTTTCACTGCTTACATTTCCATAAAACTTCTTTTGCTTAGGATTGAAGAACAATATTTTAGTATAATGAAACTTGCCATTCTAAAGGTTTCTAATACCAGAAAGCAGATAACAAGCAATTTCCAGAAGTGATTAAGAAAGGAGTTTGTGAACCCTGTATCCTTGGATAAAGGTAGCAATTGCCCAGCACCCAGACCTTGAAGCTCATCAGAGACCTTTATCTTATAGTCTCCTCACGGGGAGCTGCTGTCTAGAGCAGGGCATTTCAACCTTTTCACAGATTGTATCACTTTTAGGACATGACAATATTTGACTACCACCAGTGCTTAGCAAGGTGTCAAAAACTTGATGGCTTAAAAAAAAAGGGGGGGGATTTTGGGTTTTACTGATTAGATTCATTTGTTGTAGTAGAAATGGCTAGTTTATAATATTATGGAAAAGTAAAAAGTTGAGGTTCAGTGTTAATACTTCCTTCTACTGCAACAAAAGAAGTCTGATCTTTTTCCCTTCTCCCCCTCACTTTCCCCCTTTTTTCCTCCCCACTGTGTCCTATTATTTGCTTTTGTATTTTTATATTTTATTCTATAATCTAATAAAATATTACAAACTGTAGAAAAAAAGGGGAAAATACCAGTTTTAATTTCTTTGGTGGCTGTTCCTTTGCTGAATCACTTTCTCTTTGCACTGACAAATGTATGATGAATTTATCCATGTTTATTAATATGCAGCACTACCAGCTAGCTCAGGGGTCTTCAAACTTGGCACTTTTAAGACTTGAGGAATTCTGGAAGTTGGTCCATAGGTTTAAAGTTGCTAAGTTTGTAGACCCCTGAGCTAGCTGGTTGGCTCTTCTTCCTCTCTCCCTTCTGAGCTCTTTCCACAGTGTAGTAAGAATGCATCCTCCCCCTCAATCCCTTCCCTGTACCATTAAAGATACAGGAATCAAGTGCAAAGCAAGAAAGTCTCACAAAATAAAGAAACACATAAACTCCATTTTTTTTCTTTAAGCTGCCTCAGGCATGTCACGTGTCACAATGTTGCAATCCAAGATTGAAAGGCTCCGGCAATTGTGAAAAGCTTTAGCTTTAAATTAAGCCTGTTGACCTTCAAAGAAAACTTTCTAAAAGCCATAGACAGACTCAATTAAAGGGGGTAAAACTAATTACATTTGTTTAAAGGGATTAAACCTTTCTGTGTTGTCTTTTTTTCCTTTTCCTGCCCAAACCACCTCCTTTTATAGCCTCTCCTCTCCTCCCCCCTTTTTTCCAGTTCACTTTCAGCTCTGCGTTACTTCCGGAAGCACCAATCAGCTGGAGCAATCAGCTGGAGTGCTGCCTGCTCCTGGCGAGCCCAGACAGTCCTGCAGTTGCAGCTGCCTCTCCCTCAGGCTTGGGTCACTTCGGCTCATTTGCCTCCCCCGCTACACATCTCTAGGATGCTCGCGTACCACCTGCCATGTGGCAAAGTACCACAGGTAATACATGTACCACTGGTTGAAAAGCCCTGGTCTAGAGTGCTTGGGGGTAATCTTAAGTCCTCTCCTTGTCCAGAGAGGAATGCTGATTTTGCCACTGCTTTCCTGGAAGTTTGGTAAGTGCAAATTATTCAGCGCCAATAATAATCAAAGTAATATACACTATATAGAAAACCTCTCTTGAAAGTAGATGGAAATTAAAATTTTCAATGTAGATTAGCAACTACCTTACAAGCCAATATTTATATTAAAGCAGATTCCCAAATATGAAAGTTTCAAAGATCTTTACTGTATTAAAGGAAGCTAGTAAACGATTGAAGAGAGAGTCCAGGAAGTGTTAACAAGGTGATATTATCCACTCAAATAACGAAGAAAGAATGAACAAAGGCTATAGATCTATACCTCTGTAAAGTCCAGCTGCAGATTTTATCAGAGTAATTGCTATCATATTTACATATTGCTTAATAAATATGTCAGGCTTGTCATAGCTTGGACACTTAGGAAAGAAAGACCCTTGACTCCATTTGTAGCAAAAGGTATACTTTTACTAAAGCCAAATGGTTATAGCGTAAGGAAAGCTGGAGCTGACTATTCCTGCATAAACCCTGCTTTTTCCCTTTCTTCCGGACCCTCCCCCTTGATTATTGACAAATGTCCCATAGTATTCAGATTATGTGTTTGGATAACAATCTTATGATTTGGTGCCCTTTTGGTAGACTTCTGCATCCATTCTCATACTTGGATCCGCCAGTCTGTTCCAGTTGTTTTGGATTGGCACCTCTGGTTGCTGTCATCCTGTCAACCCGCCTCCCTTCATGCTCATTCTCGCTCATCCCTGCATATATGGCAGAATACCACTGAAGCAAAGTAGACTGAAGTGATTACGATGGCAAACCTGACAGAAGATTTATAAATTACTGAGTTTATTCCCCCAGGAACAGATCTCAGAAAAATTTAGCCCTTTGGGCAGATTCTCAACACTTAACAGCTAAGAAAGTATCTTTGCAGTCAGAAGGGGCACAAATTTCAAATTTTCTAGTAAACCTTCTTAATGCCCTTTTCACTATGATCCTGAATAGAATTCTATCTCAGAAAACGCAAAGAAGTGAAGATAATGTGGTTATACATCACAATTTTAACTGCCTTTCCTTAGATACTTTTCCAGAACTCAAAAGAAAGTTGTATACATCAAACTGAAAAAGAAACATGATTGCTCACCAGAGCCCTTCTACTTTACAGTCTGGATGTTGGAGCCCCTCACACAGTATTTTGAATGCTTGGTCATCTGCATACATTAGCACCAACCATAATTCTCTTATTCTCTGGTTTCTCCTGAATATTTCTGCAATATGCCTGCTGCAGGATTCAGTCACAAACTCTCCATTGAGCCTATAAAAAAGATTCAAAAACAAGCATGGGCTACATTGTTGTAGGAACTGAAGAGAATATGGTTATGTATGGCAACTGAACTGCCTCTCCCTGGATCACTTACCACAGTTTTTCTACTTTACAGTCTGGGTGTTGAAGCCCCTCACACAACATCTCCCCTGTTCTGTCATCTATATCAGAGAAATAAAACTTTAACTCTCTTAATCTCTGGTTTTTCCTGAATACTTCAGCAAGATGCCTGCTGCAGAATTTGGTCTTGGCCTCTCCACTAAGCCTGCAGGTATGAATTCCAAAAGTTACAATTATTTATTGGAAAAGAAACATAGACATAAACATAAACATTCAGTTCTTCAAGGAACTGTAGAGAATATGGATGTTTGCCAATAATAGAACTGCCTCTCTGAGGATACATTTCCAAAACATAAGCAGGTAATTTTACTTTTGGAACAATGGTAAACATTGGTGATATCAATATCACTATCACTCTAATGGCAGAAAGTGAAGAGGAACTAAAGAGCCTCTTGATGCAGGTGAAGAAGGAGAGTGCAAAAGTTGACTTGAAACTCAACATTAAGAAAACCAAGAACATGGCATCTGGCCCTCTCAATTCCTGGCAAATAGATGGGGAAGAAATGGAGATAGTGACAGATTTTATTTTTCTGGGCTCCAAGATCACTGCAGATGGGGACTGCAGCCAAAAAATTAAAAGACCCTTGCTCCTGGGGAGGAAAGCTATGGCAAATCTAGACAGCATACTAAAAAGCAGAGACATCACCCTGCCAACAAAAGTGCGTATAGGCCATGGCTGTGAAAGTTGGACCATAAGAAAGGCTGAGTGCCAAAGAATTGAGACCTTTGGATTATGGTTTGCAAGACCGCCTCCTACCAAATACCTCCCTTCGACCAATCCGCTCCCACAGAGAGGGCCTCCTTAGGGTGCTGTCGGCCAGTCAATGCCGGCTGGCAACCCCCAGGGGGAAAGCCTTCTCTGTGGCAGCTCCTTCCCTCTGGAATGACCTACCCCCCGACCTACATACGACTGCGGACCTGCGCCTCTTTCGCCGAGCCTTGAAAACCCATCTATTCCATGTGGCCGGCCTGGCGTAGTTTTGATTGTGTTTTGGTAGGGGCTTTTATATGGGGTATTTTAGAGCAGGCTTTTTATTCAATATTTATTGTGATTTTTATTATCGCCTGTTCACCGCCCTGAGTCCCGTAAGGGAGATAGGGCGGTATATAAATTTAAATAATAAATAAATTAAATAATAAATAAATGGTGCTGGAGAAGACTCCTGCGAGTCCCCTGGACTGCAAGGCGATCAAACCGGTCAGTCCTAGAGGAGATCAACCCTGACTGCTCTTTAGAAGGCCAGATCCTGAAGTTGACTCAAATACTTTGGCCACCTAATGAGAAGGAAGGACTCACTGGAGAAGAGCCTAATGCTGGGAAAGATTGAGGGCAATAGAAAAAGGAGACGACAGAGAATGAGGTGGATGGATTGAGTCACTGAAACAGTAGGAGTGAGCTTAAATGGACTCCAGAAGATGGTAGAGGACAGGAAGATCTGGAGGAACATTGTCCATGGGGTCGCGATGGGTCGGACATGACTTCGCAACTAACAACAACTATTAGAGTTTTATGGAGAATTTTCTTAAGATGATATAAATCTAACTATACATTTAATAAGGAATGAATGGAATAATTATTTTTAAATTTTATTGTTACTATAAATCCTTTGTTTATTGGTATTATATTATATTCTTTATCCACTGTGTCTTTTCCCACCTTCTTTTTTGTGTAGATATTTATTCTGGTTTTGGCTTTGATATTTTAAATCGAGAAATTATTGATTTTGACAGGTTTTGTGCTACCCAGCTCCTACACACACACACACACACACACACACACACACAAAGCAAGAGTCTACAGAGTTTATTCAACCCCCCCAAACAGGTCCTCAGAAAGCACCCCAGTGGCACAGGTTCAGATCCCGAGCTCAGCACAGCAAGAGTCACTGGGTAACTGAGTCCAATGGGCACACAAGAAGTCCAGGAAAGTAGTACACAAATCGAACGGGTCAGGATATACAGCACAAGCACACAAGGCACAGAACTGGATTTGTTGCTCCAGCAATGTTCAAGTCCTCAGGGCAGGATTAAAACGTTCTTCCTCCATCAGTTCAAAAAGCTCAGATTGCCCAAAGAACTGCTGATTCAGTTCTACAGCAGATTATTATATATGTCATATAAACATATAAATTAGCCCCCACAGCCCTTTTAGTCTTTGTTGCTCTTTTCTGCACTCTTTCTGGGGTGCTGGATCATACTTAAGAGATGGTCCACCAGGAGGATGGTCCACCAAGATCCCCCTCATAGTTACTATTGTTGAGCCAAATACAGCCTATTCTATACAAGTGCATTTGGTTTTCCTGCCTAAGTACAGGATCTTAGTTTTCTCACCACTGAACTGCATCTTGTTCAATAGGGCCCAATGTTCAACTCTGTCAAGATCCTTCTGAATCTTGAGACTGTCTTCCAATTCCCCCCAGTTTAATGTCAAACTGAAAAAGAAATATTGATCACTCACTCTAGTATTTCTACTTTACAGTCTGGATGTTGGAACCCCTCACACAGTAATTCCATTGCTCTCTCATTTGTGTCTGTGAGGGATAAATTTAACTCCTTCAACTTCTGGTTTGTCCTAAAGACTTCAACAAGTTGCCTGCTACAGGACTGTGTAAGGGGCCACTGCTTCAACCTGAAAATGCAGGAAATGTTCAGAAGAATTAGAATCATACTTTCTGCTTTGGGTTTTTACTTTATTTTTATGAGGTATTTATTATAATTTTCAAAGAAGAATGTAAAGAAAAAGAGTACTGTTACAAAGTTAGGTATATGAAAATAGATGAATAGATAATAATTATAGACACTCAATAAAAATTATAGATATGGGAACCAACAATATCATATGGCTAGATAATAAATAAAACATTAAAAGTATCCTATAAATAGTATGTAGATTGCACATCAAAGTAAGAAATAAACTCTGAAACACAAATGTTGGATTTGACATCATTTCATGTGTGTGATTGTCATCTAAACTGTATTCCAAACAATAGATTTCTAAATCCAGTTTCCTTTTAAAAATAATAATAATAATAATAATAATAATAATAATAATAATAATAATAATAATAATAATAAAAATAATAATAATAAAAATAATAAAAATAAAAATAAAAATAATAAAGTTGGAAGGGACCTTGGAGGTCATCGAGTCCAACCCCCTGCTCAGGCAGGAACCCTACACCATTTCAGACAAATGGCTGTCCAGTTTCTTCTTAAAAACTTCCAGTGTTGGAGCATTCACCGCTTCTGGAGGCAGGTTGTTCCATTGGTTAATTGTTCTAACTGTCAGGAAGTTTCTCCTTAGTTCTAAATTGCTTCTCTCCTTGATCAGTTTCCATCCGTTGCTTCTTGTCCTGCCTTCAGGCACCTTGGAGAATAGCTTGACTCCCTCTTCTTTGTGGCAGCCCCTGAGATATTGGAACACTGCTATCATGTCCCCCCTCGTCCTTCTCTTCGTTAAACTAGACATACCCAATTCCAGCAACCGTTCCTTATATGTTTTAGACTCCAGTCCCCTAATCATCTTTGTTGCTCTTCTCTGCACTCTTTCCAGAGTCTCAGCATCTTTTTTACACCGTGGTGACCAAAACTGGATGCAGTATTCCAAGTGTGGCCTTACCAAGGCATTGTAAAGTGGTATTACTACTTCACGTGATCTTGATTCTATCCCTTTGTTAATGCAGCCCAGCATGTTGGCTTTTTTGGCAGCTGCAGCACACTGCTGGCTCACATTCCCACAATTTAGTTAGACATAGATCAACAGAGGGTATCACCATCTTTTTTAAAAAAGAATATATAATTTTTTTGTAGCTTCTAACATATTCAATCTTAGTATTTGGTATATTGAAGAAATATGTGGTTTAGTAACATTTGGCAATCAACAAGATAGCAAGTAGGATGCCTTCCACAATCCAGTGACATGCAAGTTCAGGCAGAATTTTGAAAAATACAAGTACAATTTTCAAAATAGCTGCAAGCTTGGCATAGGTCGAGATGGGGAAACCAATCACAAGTAAGAGATGCAAGGAGAAAAGGTCAAAGATAAAATCCCTCTATATAAAAGAGATAAAAGGTGACATTGCCATGGGTGTATATCATAGGCCATCCAACCAAGCAGAAGAAATAATGAACTCTTTGCCAACCAGTTAACAAATGTATGTAGGAAGCATACCACAGTAATAATGGGACACTTCAATTACTCAGATATCAGCTGGGAGACAAACTCTGCAGCCAGCAGGAAATCAAACAGATTTCTAACCAATCTAGCTGACAATTTTGTAATCCAAAAGGTAGATGAGGGAACTAAAGCTATACAGGTAGTCCTCGAGTTATGAGTGTAATGGAGCCTGCCCATTCCACTTGTAACTCGAAAACTCGTAGAGTGACTCATTCCTTTAGCAAGATCACTCTCTTCCTCGTTAAAATGCATGTGGCTCATTAAGTAAACATGAGGTATCTCAGGGTGGAGAAGGCCATGGAGGGCCTAGTGATGGAACAGGCCCCCAAGGCCTCCCCAACCCACTAAGATACCTCATGCTTCCCCCTTTCTTCCTGCTGCGTGGGACTCACCTGGAAAAGGTCTGTCCCCTCTCTGCCACGGTTCCTGCTGCAGCTCCGATCTGAGGCCAGGGGACACATCCACAGCCCCCTGCAGCCCGATCCGGGCTCTGGAGGCCTTTTCCAAGCCTCTGGAGCCCAGACCTATGGCTGCAGAGTGATTTTGTGCCCCCCCCAGTGGCCTGATCCAGGCTCCAGAGGCCTGGAAAAGGCCTCCGGAACCCAAATTGGACCACGGGGGGGGGGGGTTTGCAAAATTGCTCCACGACCATGGATCCGGGCACCAGTGGCCTTTTCCAGGCCTCCGAAGCCTGGATTGGGCTGCGGGGAGGGGCGCAAAATTGCGGCTATGGATCCAGTCTCTGACGGCTTTGAAAAGGCCTCCGGAGCCCAGATCGGGCTGCGGGGGAGGCCTGCAAAATCACTCCATGATCGATCTGGTCTCCGGAGGCTTCTTCCAGGCCTCCAGAGCCCAGATCAGGCCTGGGGGGGCACAAAATTGCTCCACAGCCATAGATCCAAGCTCCAGAGGCTTGGAAAAGGCCTCCGGAGCCCAGATCTGGCTGCGGGGGAGCTGCAAAATTGCTCCACCATCATGGATCCGGGCACCGGCGGCCTTTTCCAGGACTTCAGAGCCCGGATCAGGCTGCGCGGGGGGTGCAAAATCACTCTGCGGCCATAGATCCAGGCGGCAGAGGTCTTTTCCAGGCCTCCAGAGCCTGGATTGCCCTTAGGGGGGGGTGCAAAATTGCTCTGCAGCCATAGATCCATGCAGCGGAGGTCTTTTCCAGGCCTCCAGAGACCGGATCGGGCTGCTGGGGGTCCGCAAAATCACTCTGTGGCCATAGATCTGGGTGGCAGAGGCCTTTTCCAGGCCTCCAGAGCCTGGATCGGCTGCAGGGGGACACAAAATCACTCTGCAGCCATAGTTCCAGGCGGCAGAGGCCTTTTCCAAGCCTCTGGAGCCCTGATCCAGCATCCAGAGGCACGTCGAAGCACCCCCGGCTTCGGTTTGATTCTCTGTTGCCGAGAACAGAGGCTTAAAGTACCATGAGATCACGTGAGATCAGTAGTGTGAGATCTCGCTTCACTGATCTCATGTCTTCTTGAACTATTTTAGGCCTCCATTCTCTGCAAACCCACCGAAGGCCTGGAGCAGCCAAGAAAGCGAAGTTTCTCCATCTTCGCAGGGTGAGTACTGAAGACCTGGTGCCTAGGGAGACCCGCAGCGGGGGCGGGGAGGGAGGGAATAACACTTCGCGGAAATGTAGCAAAACGGATTGAAGCATCTCAGCCAAGTTTTCAGGTGATTCCCCTGTGATGAGGACATCATCGAAGTATGGGCAAACTCCCGGAATGTTACGGAGCGTTTGCTCCATGACACTCTGGAAAATGCCCGGGGCTACGTTAACCCCAAACTGCAGTCTTGTCACTTCGAAAGCTCCCCGGTGTGTTACGATTGTCTGGGCCACAGCCATTGCTTCGTCCACCGGTAGCTGTTGATAGGCCTCAGCCAAATCAAGTTTGGCAAAAACTCGGCCTCCCTTAAGCGAGGCCAAAATGTGGCTCACCACAGGCACTGGATAAGAGTGCTGCTGTAAAGCTTTATTTAACGTGCATTTATAGTCAGCACAAATGCGGACTTCCCCATTGGCTTTCAGTGGAGTAACTATGGGTGTTTCCCATGGACTACTATCCACAGGTTCCAAGATACCTTGCTGGAGCAGTTTGTCCAGCTCTGCATTAATCCTTTGCTTGAGCGCAAAGGGCACCCAACGAGACTTAATCCTAATCGGGGCAATGGATGGGTCTAACCGCAAAGCAATTGGAAGCCCCTTGTACGACCCTAGTTCTGGGCTAAACACATCAGCAAACTCCTTGCAAACTTCTGCTTGTAAACAGTTTGTAAACTGTGCAGCCCAGTCACTTGAATCCCAAGTGCCTCGAACCAATTGAGTCCAATTAGACTCATGCAGTCGCCTTCAACCACAACAACGTCCAGAAACCCTTCGAATTTCCTATGCTGCACTCTGAGCGTGGCCTCCCCCTTCACACTGACTCGGGAATTCTGAAAGTCTGTTAAGACCAGATTCGACGGTCTGAGTTTAACTCGCTGGCCGCTTCTATAGCAGATTTGCTTAAGGGTATTCTGGGATATGATTGACAGAGCTGAACCCATGTCCAGCTTCATCGTTAAGGGGACCCCCTGCAATTTGACATCAATTCATAGCTTCTTCTTTAGTGGCCTGTGGGCCCATTTTCAAAATGCTCCTATGGGACATGCAGAAGCCCACCCTGTTCTGGCTGGGGACCCTGATACCTTTCTGAGGCAATTCTTCCAAAGGACAGTCTTTCTGGTGACCCAAACAGACGGCGGCTATGTGGCCTTGCCTGCCACATGCCCGGCAAATTGCAGAGTGGAAACGGCAGTCAGAGCGCTTGTGGCGTCCTCCACATCCGAAACACTGAGGGAAGGGAACTGCCTTGTCAGTTCCCTTGTCAGCTCATTCTTGGAGCCTTCTCTCTGCTAGCTGCTGCAGGCCATCCTCTTCTTCAGAACCTGGTTCGGATGCCTCTCGAACAACCTCCTGATGAACTGAGCCCGCACTTGTAAAGTTATTTGAGAGCTGCAAGGCCTTAACAGCTCCTCCCGCTGCTTCGTTGGCCATGATCTCTCTGAGGGCATCCTGGAAGGAGATGTCTTCCCTCGCAAAAATCTGTTGTTGTAGCTCACGGCTCCTCAAACTGCAAACTAAACGATCTCAGAGCCTTTCCTCTAGGTCTTTGAACTCACAAGGCCTAGCAGCTTGTCGCAAAGCAGCAATAAAGTCCACAGCAGACCCTCCTGGACGTTGGTCCCGCTGTTCGAATGCATGATGCCATGCAATCACCGAAAACTATGTTCTCTTAACATTTTCTTCAGCTCAGGATAAACGATGGATTCCAGAGGTGCTGGGGCAACTAGATTTTCGGCAATATCAAATGTCTCTTGCCCACAGACACAGAGTAACGTTGTGGCTTTGAGTCCATCCTCTCGAACTTGGTTTACTCGAAAGTAGTTCTCCACCCTGGCCATGTATGAGCTCCAACGTTCCGGGTGTGCTGTATTGAACTCAGACAGACGGCCCAGCTTCGACATCGTCACTTCTTGGTGGCCTCATCAACACCTCGTGCTGCTCTGGCTTGTGAAGGGGTTCCTGGATGAATCTTGCTGAGCTCTCCTCCAGCATCTTCGTACTGGCAGGCACAGTCGCTCAAGTCAGAACGCCGAACTTCCAAGCACTTCGGGCCTTCCGTGATGAGTCAGTCCCTTTTCTTTCGTTGTTTCTCTTGCAGCACGATCCCACCCTCGTCACCAATGTTCTGTTCTGTGCATTGGTAAGGCATTGAGACGAGGCAGAGTAACAACAGTTGCTTCTTTATTGAATCTCCAACAGAACCAAAACAAAATGGCGCGAATTCCTTTTATACCCCTTTACAGGGACAATGTCAGCCAATCAATGCAACGTATTTCTCCCACCTTGCGCATGCACAATAGGCTGGAGACAGCCTGTCTGGCCCGGGCAGCCACGTGGTCTGCCCGGGTCTCTGTGTAGCTTCCTGCACTTGCTCTGTCAATCACAGGCCCAGGACATAACAGGAAGCTTGAGAGACCTGAGGCTTAAACAGTTGTTCTCGGAATTTGCTCTCAGGGAGTGAAGCCAAAAAAACAACCATTCTGATATTCCACCCAATATGCAGTTTCCTTCTCGGCATTGGCTCTCCTGCAGGTTGTCTTTGTTCTTGCCAAATTTCTCATATCTGCCAGGTTCTGCTCTCTTAGAGGCTGTCACTGGTGCAGGCAAGGCATCCTGGGGGCTTATTGGAACTGACTCAATCAGGGTGCACTCATTGACACTACTACTACTACTGGAATTATCAAAGCCAAAACTATTGTCTCTAGAGCCTTTAACTTCACTTCCTCCCCATCCTTCTCATCAGATAACATGACCAGCAAGTCCACAGCAACTTTGAAGCCAAGCATGGTAGCTTAAAGAATCAGATGCCCAGGGCCACAAGCTAGTTTAGATTATCCAGTCCATTAGTTACACACAGAAATGTCAAAAGGGCAATAATGGGCAGGTGTACATGATGGGAAGTAGGGAGGAGGGAATGACAGCTTGACGAAGAACAGTGAAGCTCGGAACCAGTTTTGTGCCAGCACTTAAGGCTGTACAACCTGAGAAAAAATGTGATTTAATCCAAACATGTCAACATTTTCAAAATACCTAGGGCTAGGCGAATCTTCATTGGCTGGAGACAGACTGATCATGGGGGGGAGGAGGGCTGGGATGAGGGGAAACCTTTTGTATCTTTTTGCATGGGAACCTTAGTTCAAGCCTGAACTTATGCAATGAGCATCTTTTAGTAAAAGACCTATCACTTCAATTAAATGGAGTCGAGGATCTTTCTTTCCTAAGGGATCAGAGTGGGGCAAGTCTGACACATATCTCTGGCATATAACCAAACCATTCTGAACTCATAGTGTAGACACAGTGCTGAATTCAGATACCCGCAATAGTGGAAACTGATGACAGTCAGGGTGACCTTGAAAACTGTTGGCTCAATTCTAGCAAAATGTCCTCTAATCAATACCAAAAGGCTTTAATCTTATGATATCAGTCTGTGTGGAGAGATAAATGCATAAATCAGGAGCAAGCTAGTATCCTGATTTCCATTCCTACAACAATAACAAGGGTAATATGTAAACAATAACTGTGCTGGGGAGAAGACAAATGATTGGCTTATGATTGAAGTGAGGTCAGCTATAGCTTCAAGTACACAATACCCTTTAGGCCATGTATTGCTACGTATGAAAAATTGTGAAGCTGTTTCATTTCAGCAACTCTAGCTTCCATGTTTCTTATAGAAGGATAACACTCTACTTCTATGGCATGAAAAAAAATGCCAACCTGAAAGATTCTGAGAGATCTATTACAAAGGACAAAGTGAATCAGTCAAGGGGCAGTGGTAAAAACAGGGATAATTTTGAATGGGGCTCAAGAGCACAAGGCAATTCTAGTCCTGATTACGACTTGTGGAGGCAAAAAGATTGCATTCTTAGAGGTCTCCACATGACCTAACCTATACCTTGAATGGGACTGCCTTGGCTATTGATCATCTTGAAGTATAAATCTGGGTGCTAAAGAACCCGTACCCACAAACATCTTGCCCCTATAGCTTTGTGTAATCGCACTAGCAACCAGGCAGCGACAAAGAGATGCAATTGCTCACTGCCAATGTGCCTTGTATAATTGTTGCAACCCCCTTCCCTAACTAGGAGTCTTGGCTGATGGAAGAGCAAAACTGGGTGATTGCTGATTATTAAGATTTATTACTAAGATCTATTAAAAATGAAAATGTAACAAAAAAATTACACAATGAATAGCATTTACTTTCAGATGAGGATCTATATATTTGTTATTTTGGGAACTGTAAGCTTACTTGCTGTTTTGTGTGTTTGTGATGTAGTGGCGAACTACCCTTCCTCTTTGAAAGAAGTTAGAAGAAATAGGGTGCCCAGCCTCATTCTCTCAGTCTTTCCACCACCACCAATTCCATCTTCACCAACTATCCACACAGCCACTCTAATTTACTCCCTCCACCAAAGCAGATTACTGTTTGCCAAGCATTTCCATTGATCCACCTATCAATTCAACCCATCCAATAGGGCACATTAGCCTCTTTATTAACCTTGAATTTCCCCTCCCCCTTTCATAACCATCATGGACACATCTCTCCTCAGACCTTCTCTCACAAAGCCACAAACACACGTGGGGGAGCCCTGTCCCTCTCTTTTCTCCCTCTCTTTTCTCACTCCAGAAGAAGCCCGGCAATACTATATCCTGCCTCTCATCAAGAAATTCTAGTGATAACAGTGCATCCTTCCTTACGTTTCCCAAACACTCTTTCCTTGTCTCTCAATGTCAGTTAACACCCAGTTCCATCCCAGGCTGCAGGAATCCCCAGAGAAGTCGCCTTTATTGTTCACCATGAAAGATTGATAATAGAGTGCTATAGCAATAATATTTAGGGTAATATGCACACTTCTAATATTATGTGTTGGTTTCTTTATCAATAACATTTGTAATAAAATACAAGCCGTTTCTTACCCCAGGACTCTTAGGTTTCTTAGCTTTGTCAGTGATTTAAAGACGTCTTCCATATGTCCTTCATCCAAATTCCATTGCCTAAAGGAGAAAGACATTTTTGCTCTCAGACTTTGACTTCAATGTTTCCAGTTCCTGTACTTTGCAAATATAAATGGCTTCCAGTCCATTTGTAAAGTAACCAGAAGTGAATGTACTTTTGTTGTAGTATGGGAAATTAGTACAAAAAAATAAATAAGCTGAGTCCTAAGTGCCAGAACATGAATGTGGGAAGTAATTTGCAAATGTTATATAATCATGCATGCGTGCTTACCATGCATATTCCTCTTCATACATATTCATCTTCATACATATTCACCTTTATTCATTTTATTTTAGGCAAAGCCCTCTGCTCCAATTGGCTGTTAGGAACTGTGGCAGGAATGCCTTCTCCCCTCTGGTCACTGGTTACTGCCTCTTATGCGCTTTTTGGGCAGAGGAGAGTTATTGTACAAGATCTCTGAAAGGATTGGACGTTTATTTTAAAAACAGGTCACTGGTGAAACTGGTAAAACGGGGACCGCCTTTTTTAACAAGGTGAAGTTGACAAGAGTGCTATCATTTGTCAATTTCTTCTACTGGAGGTGACAGGAAAAATGGAAAAACTGGTGTTTTCTTTGTCCTTTTGTTAGTCCATCAGTGTCAATCAAGAAGGGAAATGAATGGATGAGGGCTAGTAGAAAAGGTCTAACTAGGTGTTGTCCACCCACAGGCATTGGATCCATACTTGCTTACTTCGCACTGTTATGATTTCATCACTCATCTGACACAGGGGTTAGAAGAGCGAACAGACAGATTGTCAGCCAGAAAAGCAAGTAGGGAATCAGACGCTTGTCAGAGCTTCCGGGCCAATGAGTCAGAGCAGATGAAACCCAGTACAGATAAGGAGGGAACACATTTTGGCAGAGAGCATAATATATTGTTTTAAAAGGATATATAATGATTGATACACCTCCCTAATCTAGCTACTGAAAAGATATTTATGCATATTCTAAAGAGGCCTTTTTTTGATCTATTATTTATTATATTTGGGATAGTAGGCTAGAGAATAGCGGTGGCAATATAATAAACTGAATTAAATGCCTAAAAGGTCATAAACTTTCAAAAATACTTACCCATTTTCTGGAAGAAATAATTCTTTCTCTGTCTCATCTAGAGATGTAACGATTTGAATACAGAGATTCTCCAAATTTTGGCAATGTTGTAAGCAATAGGCCAGGATCATCAGTTCCATATCTGAGTTGCAGCAATAATTTACTTCAGTGATAGCACATAGTGCATTTTTTACAAAATTCTCATCTTGTGTCTCATATAAATAACTAATTATTTCTTTTTCCAAATAGAATTGAATTCTTTTACGAAAGGAGTTGCATAAATATAATGTGGCATTATTTTGCGTGACCCAATCTAGGTCGATCATATCCATTTTTTTGTTAATGTTATTTTTCACCCAGTCTAGTAATAACTCTTTACTCTTATGAGAAATTTCCCATCTAAATTCTTTTTTCAACTCTCTCATTCTAATTTCTTCATTTAGAAAGCCAAAGAGGAAGCGAAATCCTACTGCAAAATCAGTCTGAAAATATATACTATGCTTATGTAAAAGTGTCAGTAAATTTTTATTTGGGTTTTGAGAACGCTGTTCTTCTCCATCTTCTAAAACATAAAACAAAGCAGCAAAAAACTCCTGGAAGCTTAAGTGAATGAAGCTGAAGGTTTGAATACAGTGAATGTCCCTTTTGAAGATGTTTTGATTCAGAAAGAGGGGGAAGAGGTCATTCTGATCCAAACTGTGCTTCTTGACTTCTTCTTCCATAAACAGTATTTGCTGTTTCCAGATGCCTTCTGCAGCCAAAGAGCAGAAACTTTTCAACTTTCTTTGGACATCCTGTTTGGATTCTTTGTGATGAAAATCTAACAAACTAGAGAGATACAGCATATAGATTGCAGTAAGAGTACATGGTGTCTTCTGAAGATCCATACCTCTCTCCATCTCTTGTTTCATCACTGTGCAGATGATCCAGCTCACAAGGGGAATGACACACATGGTGAAAAGGGTATCATTTTGTTTAACAAATCTTAAAGCTTGAGTTGCTTGGTCTTTGTCTTCTCCAAAGAATTTGTAGAAATATTCTACCCTCTCCTTTCTAGAAAACCCCAATATCTGAAAAAAATGTGGATGTTCTAAACATAGACGGAGTTTCTCCAAAGCAGTAGGTCTTGTTGTGATTATAAGAGAGGATTCAGGAAGAAGCTTTTTTTGAAATAAACTTCTCAGAATAATTCTTATTGGTTCCTTCTTCCAGGGATCAAAGCAAAAGGAATCTTCAAGCTGATCAAAGGAATACCTGAATTCATCAAACCCATCAATTATGAATAGAAGCTTCTCTTCATTCTTCAGTATGTTTTGAATGACACTTTTCACTGCATGATACCTGGGCCATTGTTTTGAAATTATCTCTGCAATGCTACTCTTCTCTGAATCTGCATGGAGATTCATCTCTCTACAATAAATATAGAAAACATAACTAAATTTATCATGGTAAAGTTCTTGAGAAGCCCAATCCAACATGATTTTTTTGGCCATTGTGGTTTTTCCAATTCCTGCAGCTCCTTGCAACACAACAATTTGTGGAATTAGTCCACATTTATCAGGGTTAAATAACGTTTCAATGCTGGTTGAAGACTGGGCTCTCTTGCTGATGATTTCAATATGTTTCCTTCCTGTTGCCAGAATTTCATGTTCTCTTTCCTTTTGAGACAATTGACAATCTAGGATGATTAGCTTTGAGTATCTCTGATTTAGGGGAACATATTCACCAAGAATAGAATTAGGATCTTCAATCGTTTGAAATTTTTTTTTAACATGGCTTCTGTAATCTAAAGCAAGAAAAAATCAAATTACAAGTGTCAAAAATAAGGCCTACAAAAGACACTCAATTAAATGTTTTGTTGCTGGATCTTCTCCTTGAAGCCACCCCCATCCACCCTCTGGATTAATGTGTTTACAGGAATTGCAGGATATTCTATTAATTAATCAAAGTAGGAATTGATTTCAATAGGCAAATATGTGTTAATCAATATATTAAATAATAATTATTTATTAACTATTTAGTTGTTCTTTTTCTACATAATATTTCTGTAATAATTGCAATAAACACTAGTATATAAAGATGTTTCTTTGGACATTGCTAGACGGAATTTTTTAAACCTTACCCCCTTGGAATATGGTAAATACTCTCAGAATGAATTTAATACGAGCGTAATATATATTGTGTGGATTCCTTTTTATTCACAAAGAAAAAGAGATTGAAAGATGGGCATATATGGGCTTCTTCAATTCCAATAGGTTTGAAAAATACGCAGTTGTAATTTAAAGATGGGGTTTGGATTTCCCAAATTTTGAATTATATCATTAGAAAATTCTTCTTCCTCCTATTCCTCTTTTCCCATAAATGCAAGGTCCACTTTTTTCAGCTATTTTGACTATTCCAAAATTGTAACAACTTCATTTAATATAAATACTCCTTCCTAGGGTTTTTTAGAATATTCCTGTATTTCATTCTTGGTTACTTGTATAGCATCACCTTCAACATATATTTTTTTAGGTAAGGAAATATATCTAAAATGATGATTAGATTATTAGATTATCATCATCATTTTAGATATATTAATAGATTAAAGATAACCCTTTTAGACATAGTCTATGTTGCTATTATATCCAAGTTGAGTATTACAGTATTTTTCTTGTGGAAAATTGCATTTTGATCCCTTTTTATTATTTTATTTATTTATTAATTTAATTTCTATACCGCCCTTCTCCCGCAGGACTCAGGGCGGTGCACAGCATATTAAAACAGATACACATATCAATAAAAATAAAAAATAAAAATAAAAACCCCTCTAAAACCAAATTAAAAACCAAATATTCGAAGCTGTGTTCCAATTAAAATTATACTTAAAATCGTCCCTAAATAAAATNTCCAGAGGGTGGGGGCACCCACAGAGAAGGCCCTCCCCCTGGGGGTCGCCAGCTGACACTGTTTGGCCGACGGCACCCTGAGGAGACCCACTCTGTGGGAGCGTACCGGTCTATGGGAGGAAATCTGAGGCAGAAGGCGGTCTCGGAGGTAACCAGGTCCGATGCCATGGAGCGTTTTAAAGGTGGTAACTAACACCTTCAATTCTCATGTTGAATTGATGCAGTACAATAATTCAGACCTTAAAACTGATTTTTTTAAAAATCTCTATTCTATGGAAGGTTTGAATATATGCTGAGATTTTTACTTTAAACCGATTATAGAATAATAATAATAATGTTAGTTTTAATTCCTCTTTTAAAGAATAAATAATCTTTTTACTTTAGCATTCCACCAGTGCAACATCTATTGGCATCTTATTTGGGACCTACAGCATTTCAGCTTCACACACATAGATGATTAGAAAAGATCATCATGGTTATGAAACTTAAAATCCCAGTTAGTCTTTATAAATATTAATTTCCAATAAATCATCTTGATATCTAAATATTAAAAACTGAGTGTAATTGAATAAATGGAGATCTAACCTAACAATAATTGTCTTAACGTCTGTATCAAAATTTTCAATATCTTAGATTGTAATTTATTCAACATAAAATAATATTTATATGTCTCTAATACTTCTATACAGAAAAGGGAATCAGTAAGTCATTACCTTGTTTGACATGGAATGAGAAACGTGTCATTCAAACATAATTTTTGCAATATTCTAAAATTATTATATTCTGAGAAGTCATCTGTCAAGATTGAACCACATTTGCTTCATCTGAATTTTATCACTATTCAACTTGCCAAAGAACTGGGGGAGGGAAGGGTGAGATGGAATGCGGAGGCTCCAGACATCGACCATGAGAACCAAGTAGAATAGAGCTGGAAGAGACCTTCGAGGTCTTCTAGTCCAGCCCCCTGCTCAAGCAGGAGGACCTATACCATCTCAGACAAGTGACTGTCTAACCTCTTCTTAAAAATCTCCAGTGATGGAGCGCCCACGATTTATGGGGGCAAGCTATTCCACTGGTTAATTGTCCTCACTGTCAGGAAGTTTCTCCTTAATTCCAGGTTGCTTCTCTCTTTGGTCAGTTTCCAACCATTGTTTCTTGTCTTGCCCTCTGGTGCTTTGGAGAATAACGTGACCCCCTCTTCTTTGTGGCAGCCCCTCAAATACTGGAATACTGCTATCATGTCTCCCCTATTTCTTCTTTTCTTTACACTAGCCAAACCCAAGTCCTCCAGCTGTTCTTCATATGTTTTAATCTCCAGGCCTTTGATCATCTTAGTTGCTCTTCTCTGAATTTTTTCCAAACTCTCAACAGCTTTTTTGTAATATGGTGACCAAAATTGGCTGCAGTATTCCAGGTGTGGTCTTACTATGGCTTTATAAGCGGTACTAGTACTAGTACTTCGCATGATCTTGATTCTATGCCTCTGTTTATACAGATTATTAGTTTTTTGGGCTGTTGCTGCACACTGCTGGCTCATAGTCAAGTAATCGTCCACGAGGACTCCAAGGTCCCTTTCACAGTTACTGTTTTTAAGCCAGGTCTCACCCAATCTGTACTTGTACCTTTGATTTTTTTTTTTTTTTGCCTAAATGTAAAGCTTTGCTTTTCTCCACATTGAAACTCATTTTGTTGGATAGGGCCCATTGTCCAAATTTGTCAAGATCTTTTTGGATCCTGAGCTTGTCTTCTGGGGTGTTGGCTACTCCTGCCAGTTTGGTGTCATCTGCAAATTTGATGAGTTCCCCTTCAATTCCTTCATCTAAGTCATTGATGAAGACATTAAAGAGTACTGGGCCTAAGACGGAACCTTGTGGTACCCCACTACTTACTTCTCTCCATATGGATGTAATGCCATTGAAGAATACTCATTGACTATGGTTTGCCAGCCAGCTACAGATCCATCTGGTGGTGATGTACCCACCAAGGACGCGTCTGCAGGTGTTGGTTAAGAAATGAAATGTTCTCAAAACAAAAGGACAATTCATAACTGGACAATGTGATCCATTCCAAGGGAGGAGGGGATAATCTATTGTTCAACTATGCAAGTTTGTGCAGGAACTGTTAGAGCTGCTTTTGATTCTTCAGTGCCGAAATGATGTACTCAATAATGTTTTGCTTTTGGGATTTCAAAGTTCCTGAGGGTATCTATTTTCTTTGAGTTTGTTAGTCAAACCGTTGACATCATTATGTGCATAGTTTGACTTAATGGACATTCACTTTTTGGTATGGCTATGTTCTTTTGAGCTATTACCTATTATATGGAAATTGGTGGCTAGAAAACAGAAATGGATTCTGTGCCCTTTGAAGCACTAGGAATTTTTTTTATTCAGTTTTCCTTCCTTCCTTCCTTCCTTCCTTCCTTCCTTCCTTCCTTCCTTCCAGCACTGCAAGAATCACCCTAGAGTTTTCCCTATCAAGATTTTGGGGGTGATTAATATTCACAACAGCTTCTTGCATAAATCGGGAGGGAGAGGAGAGGACCTGATCATGCTGAATATTAGCTTTAAACATAATTCAGTGACCCTTTGAATGTTTTCTGCCTTACCTGATGAATCTGGCAGTTGCTGAGCATCAAAATCTGCAACTGAAGATGGACTAAATTAGTGAAATACAAATTATAAAAATAGGTAAATACATCGATTATATAGCCATTATGGATGTCTACATTCACAGTGTATGCTAGATTTCCTAGCTAACAGTTCTTATGAATTTCTATAAATTTTGTTTTGGAAGAAGGAGAGTTGCTATTAAACCACTCCCTCCATTCCTAAGTCACTAAACCGTTTCAAAAGAATATCAAGATCACTGATATGAAAGTCCATCCAGAGATCAAGGAGAATTAGGACAGATATGCTACCCATGTCCTGCCCCCATTAGAGGCCATCCATTAGTGCAATCAAGACCATGTCAGTGCTATATTCCAACCTGAAACATGACTGGAAAGAATCTAGGTAATCATTTCCTCCAGGCAGTGGTGTGAACAACCGGTTCTCTGTGTGGATGCCGCTTCTGGAAGTCCATTCTGGGCCTGGTCAACAAAAAATTAGCTACCGGTTCTGCCAAACTGGTGCAAACTGGCTGAATCCCACCACTGCCTCCAGGGTTCTTCAATGCACCACCACCAATTTGGAGGCATTTTTCATCCAGGTGGTCTCTGCATAAAGTCCCCACCTTTCATCATCTTCATCTCTACTTTTAAATTCTGGTTTGTTTTTCATATGTGGAAGTTGGAGGTAGAAATCCTTGCCTGCCCAACTGTGAGGGCTTTGAGGTGTTGAGTGGGTGTATCATATCATTACACAATTTATTTTCCAAGTATGTCTTAAATGTGAGGCGTTTTCCATACTATCTTTATCAAAGCAAAACCCCTAACTGGGATAACAGTTGTTTTGGGTTTTTCCAATAGTCTGTAAGTTCGTTTCAGGTATTGGAGTTTTAGAAGCTGACTCACTTCTTTACCATATTTTAGCTGAATTTAAATTGGGTTTCAATGATGCCATGTCAGCCATTCAATCTTTTTAGCCTTTTCTTCTCTAGCCTAAGTAGTTTAATGAAATTGAAGCCCCCTAGATGTTTGGGCAACTCTTCAAGGGGGGGGGGTTGTGCTTCAAGAATGCTGCTGTTTCTACAGAGGCCAATCTCATGCTATCCAAGAGAATGTCAGGCAAACTAAAGCAGATGGAAAAAGGCTTAAATGGGATTTCTTCTTGGGATGAATACTGTTTCTGGGACATTCCTTGGCTCCCACATTTGGGATCTCTAGCGTAGAAATGTACTCAAAGTGTTTTAGATATTTGGTGACTATCCTTCCCCAAAGTCAGTTCTTATTTTCTTTCCACTCAGGGAAAGACTAATCCAATCTGGGTCAGTCTCCAGGACAGGAGGTTTGTCTTCTGAGCATTCGGACTTGTGCTGGAGCCCATTTTCAGGGAACTTCTCTCTAGCAGAGTGCGTGCTGTGAGCTGTTCTCTATGTGGTATTTATATGGTGCCTGTTGTATGTAGCTTTTTAGATGTTGATTGGGGTGCTGATAGCTAGCTATTAAGCACTTGGCTGTTATTTGCTTGTGCTGCCAATGCCTCACCTACTAAGTACTTGATAAGTTAGTGGTAAATCTACACTCATGTTGACTGAAAGGGACTCTTTTACCTGGTATCAATCACTTCACTGGCTGTTTTTGTCCCTGCTTATCAAACAATCTTAGTAGGTACAAATACTGTTATTCTTTGTTCTCTGGCTCTACCCAGCATTTCATAACCTTCTCTCTTCCTTAACAGCAACAAAGCATCATCACCTGTAAGATATTATAATACTGCATCATGTCAGGTAACACAAATGGTCTAAATCATGGTCAGCTGATGACCTGGTAACTCTGCAGGGAGGCTGGACCTGTTTGACTGCTCTGCTTTTGATGATTAATGGGTGCAAGCGATGGTGAATTCATCCCAAACAGATAGGATATTCCTGGCTCCTTTTAAAGATGTACTAATGCATCCCCTCCTCATGAGCCCCATTAATTAAGGTATATAAAGCTAAGGTTACCACTATGCTCTTGTATGGAGCAGAAGTTTGGGGTCTCTACTCAACTACAGTCTTAGAACAAACACAGTTCCAGCATTTGAGATGTATTTTGGG